TCAGGCAACCAAAACCTGTTTCTTGATTTGAAACAATATCACTCATTAGAACATGCAAAAACTAAGAAATTAATTTGTCTATTTAGATATTTATTTTGAATGAATGAATTAATTAATGGTCTGGTTTCTACAACTTTCACTTTGGGGCAAAAATCTGGCTTAAAACTTGAAAGAAATAAAGATTTGACATTTATCGTGATAATTATCGATATCGACTGATATGGAAAAAAAATGTATCGTGATAATTGTTTTGGCCATATCGCCCAGCCCTAGTATAACCAATGTTTTTTGTGTTGTCAACATAATAAGACCAGATAACTTTGATTGAGTGATTTATTAACGTTACTGGAGTGAAGTTTGTTCGTAATTTTGACAGACTGATCGTGATATTTTTCTTGGCCATATTTTTCGCCCAGCCCTTTTTTGGCCATATTTTTCGCCCAGCCCTACTTTCAGTGCTAATTCTTCACTGCGCGTCTTTAGTAAATCCTGACAGTACTATTTTAACGCCAAAAGACGGTTTGCGTTGGTGCAAGCTGTTAGTAAATCTGGCCCCAAGTGTTAAAAATCTTAAAGATTTTCATTGTTTGATTTGGGCCAATTTTCCATTTATTTTTAAATACCATAGACTGTATAAAAACATGGACGTAGTGTCCGTGACGTCACCCATAGATTTCTGAAGAGCGTTTTTGAAGCTCAAAGTGGGCGGAGCAGGCCGTCGCCATCTTGGCAGCGCGTCACTCCCGGATAATCGAAAATGGGCAAAAAGGCGGAAGCTGGTTGCTGAAGCCACACCCACCTAGCTCGACGGCAGTGTCAGCAGCGGCAATCCACCTGTCACTCAAGTGGCCACGCCCTTAATTATGCAGAACTTTAAGGCTTAATATAATTTAAATCCTGACAGTACTATTTTAACGCCAAAAGACAGTTTGCGCTGGCACAAGCTGTTAGTAAATCTTGCCCTTAGTGTACACGGATCCATGAATATGCTAACTATCACTCATTCATTTATATTTTACTTTTATCTGTTGTCTTAGACGCGTTGCTATGGGTTGCATCTTGATTCAGACTTTTAGAAATGCACATTTGATAGTAGCTTGAGTTAGGATGCAGAGGTAAATATTTGTTCATTCTCAAAATCGATAACATCTGTAAAAATTGTAGCAACCTCAGTTTTATACGCTTAAATTTATTCTGACCAAGTTTTTTTTTAATTAAGCAATGGTCTCCCATAGTAGCATACATTTAAATCATGATAAACACAGTTAAAACCACACAATATAGTGTGAGTGTGACGTGACATGTGGCCAAGTATGGTGACCCATACTCGGAATTAGTGGTGAGTGTTACTACAGTAAATCCATGGTAAATGAAAGCGACGTGTAGATTGAAAAGCCTTTTGACTGTCTCGTTGCACACAGTGTTTCTCCTGTTTGGCTTTAAACTAGTTTAAATTACAGAGTCATTTGTGTTCATAGCTCTGTTCGCGCTTCACACTGGATCTCACAGCACTGTTTAGTGCTCACGTGACCGAGTAAAGTTACTCAGTAAATGCATCTGCTCTAGTGAGCTTGCGCCGCGCGGCAGTTTGAACTTTGATCCGAGCGGATAAACGGTCCGTGTGGCGCGATTCAAACGAGTCGCAATGTTTCGTTTCCTCTTTTGGTGCATAAATATTATATCGAACATTTATCGAACTCTTCATATCGTTTTATCAAGAGAAAGTATACCGCGATAATTATCGTTATCGAATTATCGACCAGCCCTACTGAAAAGGCTTGGACACAGTTATTTTTACGCCTGACCTTATTGAATATGCATTTGTAGGAGTTTCCCTTTCAGATGCAAAATATATGAGAGGAGTGTATTAAAGGGGTCATATGACGTTGCTAAAAAAGAACATTATTTTGTGTATTTGGTGTAATGAAATGTGTTTAAGCGGGTTAAGGTTAAAAAAATGCATTATTTTCCACATACTGTATATTATTGTTTCTCCTCTATGCCCCGCCTTTCTGAAACGCGTCGATTTTTACAAAGCTCATCGTTCTGAAAACCGAGGTGTGCTCTGATTGGCCAGCTATCCAGTGCGTTGTGATTAGCCGATTACCTCAAGCATGTGATGGAAATGTTACGCCCCTTACCATATGATGCCGTGTCCCTGCACGACGAGACAAAACCAATAAAACCCATTACAAACAAGGCATTTGTTGCATCCACTGGGGACATAAGTATGGATTATAATGACTTATACTGTCTTTTTACGCGTTGCGTTGCATCGCGCCGAGTAAACATAAAACCATGTCTAGATTTCTGATCGGAGAAACGACAAAAAAAACAGGCACTACTCTACACTGCTCAAAACTCGCATTTGAATCATCAGTGGCAATTGTAGGCTACTCTCCCAGGAAAACAGTCCTCGTCCTCCGTAAAATGCGTTGCTCACATCTGAATATATTTGGGTTGAACTGTTCTGGAACAGTGTTGTAAATACAACTTAACCACTGATTTCTAGACATGAAATCGTATCATATGACCCCTTTAAAATGTATCACGCAATGCAATTTACTCGTCAAATTACTGGTATTTGCGCCATTATTTAAAGCTCCAAAAAAGCATGTCTTAAAGCAGACGGTAATTTGCGCTGCTCTTGGTAGATTGTGTTGGTCATTATGGAAATTATCTGGCTGCGTCTGTGTTCTTTAATTTGTGCATTGTCAGTAAATCACAATGTCCACTTCCATTAGCGCTTTTTTTGGAATTGCGCTCTCGCTCTAATTTGCCGTTTAGTAAATCTGGCCCTAAAAGAGCTAAAGGTGTAGAGTTATATTCAAGCCATTTTAAGACATAAATTACTTTTATGGGGGAAAAAAAAACATTTAAATATGTCATTTTGATTGTCAAAGATGAGTTTTAAGGGATACAATTAGTGTCTGCAGGGGGACTTTAAAACAGCTAGGTACACAGAACATAGAAACACACACCTCATTGTTAGGAGATGCATGAAATAATGTGTTATAAAATCATCTCAGAATATCAAACGCTTTTAATCCTTCGATGTGTGTTTGGGCTGGAATCATAGTCTGAAGATAAAATATATATAGCATCACAAATTTATTTTCTTTAAGTATGCATTATATATTGGTACAATTTCTGTTGTCAGCTGATATTACTTATTATTATACATTTTTTAATGTAATGGTTGATGTTGGATACATATTTCGATTTGATAACTCATCTAACACTCACTTGAAGTCAGTCTTTAAAAACGCAAATCATTTAATAACATTGTTATGAATATGCAATGATAAAGTCGATGCCTAAATTCACTTGTAACATGCAGAATAAATGATTTTAATTATTTTATTTTGAATTTATTTAACATGAAGTATATAATTTATGTGACATGAAAATAATTGTCAGCTTATCAGTATCAGTAGTCAGAATTTTGTTTTACTAATTTTACTAAACAGGGCAAATTATCATAAAAGTGCGGGGAGTGGAAAGTTCTGCAGGTGATCTACTGACATACACACATTAAAGAACACAGACACATCCAGCGTATCCATTTCCATAATGACCGATGATAATCAGGTGCGTGTAATCTACTAACAACACAGATGCAAAAATGGGTTAAGACCTAGGTCTTGAACCCTGCTCCTGCGGACCAACTGTCCTGCAAATTTTCTAACCAACCTGCCTCAGGACACGTGGCCTGTGGTTTTTCCAAGTGAATCCTTTGATTAGGATTTTAGCTAAGTTTTGCAGGACAGTGAGTCCCCAGGTGCAAGACTTGCTTTCTTTGGGCGTTAAATAATGGCGCAAATACCAGTAAATTGACTCCCGCAAGCCTTGGTAAATCACCTTGCGTGATTAATTAAAAAACCTAAATTTAAATAGGGAAACTCCTACAAGTAGGCTTATCAACTATAAAACGGGAGGAGAAAATCTTGTTTCGTCCAATTTGTCTACTTTAGTGCAAATTGCACTTGGTAAAAGCAAGCTACTTTAAATACGAAGGGTGCGTTTACATGACAACAATGTATTAAAAACAAAGTTTTATTCTTTTATTTATTTAAAAAAAAATATTATTATTTTTTTAATTTTGTGTACAGACGACAACGTTATCGAAACGACCCCCGTTCACACGGATCCACGAAAACAACAAAAAATGCTGTATTATTCTTTCCAGGCCAGTAGTTGGCGATGTTACTTTTTTATGTTTTTGTAGTTTACACAGAGATAATAACTGTATTGTTTTCAAAAGTTTGTTTTTTCAGGCCCCAAAAACACCCTTGTCGTGTAAATGAACGGCCAAAATGCATAAAAACGTTTCGTTTTTTAGTTGAAAATGGTGTCGTCTAAACATCTACTAATTTAAATACTCTGATGGGTGGCCACTTGATATCTAATGTAATATCTGGGTCTGGATTGTATTCAAGTTATATATATATAGTTCAGTCATGAAACTCTAGATGGCGCAGGCGACGGGTTGTTAACGTAATATTCAGAGAGTTAAATGACTTGGCACAGCTGATTGGTTCATGCTGCATATGCAGCCAATGAGCTTACTGCCTTGCATTTATATGGCTGGCTAGCATTTACTAGAGATTCCTGCAGCGTGCTTTCAGAGTTTCTCTGAAACACTCCACTTTCCCCAGCTCCACCTGTATAGATCTGCTATGGGTTATTTTATATGCAATTTGTGCAGCAGCAGTATGTCTTAAATACTCATGGCACCGTATCGCCATATGCATTGGCAGTAGCAAGTTCCTGTACTTGATTGCAGCAGCAGCAGCAATAATCTACAACTACAGCAATAACCAACAGCAGCAGTAATTCAGCAGCAGCGTAGCAGATCTATTCCGCCAAGACCAAATACATTAACATTGTCATATCCATCACCATGCTAAAATCTTCCGAGAGTTGTCATGATTGAACTATATATATTTCATTTCATTTGAAATGTCTTAATAAACTGTCCTTATTTTTTTGTGTTCCAGCTCTTTGGCCAGGCCTGAAGCGAGCAGCTCCAGTTCGTCTGGATCAGTCAAGCCCGGCGGAAACACCCATAAGATCTGCCTGGTGTGCTCCGATGAGGCCTCTGGGTGTCATTATGGGGTGCTCACCTGTGGCAGCTGCAAGGTTTTCTTCAAAAGAGCTGTAGAGGGTGAGGCTGCGGGACACACATATACCCCTTCATGTTCCTGTTTTGACAGTAGGGCTGACTCAGTGGAAAGCACTGGGCTGATAAATGCTTTGAATATCATTTTATTAAGCAGTGAACAACAAAGGCATTGCATGTACCGTCAAGGTTGTCCTGTCAAATAGCGTTTGATGGCTGATAAAATGCTGGTATATAGCCACCCAAAACTGAGTTTTATTGACTTTAGTCTATGTCTGTTAGGTCATATTAAAAGTGTGATTTATTTTTGGAATGGCTATTAAAATTTAAATTTAATCTTCCGTTTCAACAGGAAATACATCAAACAGACAGGAAAACTTAGAACTATTAATAGTAATTTTATGGTAGCAAATGAGTGTCACAGAAAATTGCTGAAAAAGAAAACATTTATTAAAAATAAAAAATATATATTTCATGGAGTATTTAATAACAGAAAATGTACACTGTCGAGTTTGAGATTAATTATTCAGATAATCAGCCAGTAATCTTAAAATGGCTATATTGACTTGATTTAATCATATTTACTTATACATTGCTCTGTTATTAATTCTGATATCCCCTGATAGGTGGATTTATTATTGTAATCATTATGTAAATCACTCAATATGTGGTCCTTAGTAGCCATTTCCTGCTTGTGTTCAAAAGCAATGAGTAGCAGGGGGTCTAGAAGTCAGAGAATATAAGTAAAAATGCTTCATTTTTCTAGGTTAATATTTGTTGTTTATTACAAATTATATTACTGTAATAATTTGAATGGAGGTTGCCCAAGGGCATTTCATGCTTCAGTCAAAGCAGGAACATCTGACCTTTAGTACAATGTAGTTCATATGCTCAGTGTCACTAATCAGTGACCTAGAAATAGTGCAGAGTCTGAAATATTTCTCATTTGTTTTGTCATAATGTTTCTTTTGCAAGACAAATAACTTTGTTTAAATGATATTTTGAATCGTCTTCACCCACTGTTTTCCCCCCCTAATAGAATCATAAACACCAGCACTTACAGATTGTGACTTTAATCAGTATCCTTTGAATATTTTTTTTTCTGATCTACTCCATCAGTCATGGTTTTCTGAAACCTTAGCAGACAGATGATCAGGTTTGTCTTAATTAGACACAGAAAAAACAAGCACATTGCCAAAGTGTGGTTTCCTGCAGAGGTGTTACTTTGAGATGAGATATTTCCTTATGTTTGGAGCACAGAATATGTCTAGAAAAAGAGCACGCAGCAATAAAGCTCATGTGCTTGGCACCTTAACAAAATTCCCTCCTGTTTTAACACATGCTCCATCCGAATACTGAAACAGAGTCCACCTGCGTGATATTACTACAATATCCACTCCACTGACATCCTCTACCATCCGTTCTCTATAGAGCTCGACAGTGGCATTCGAAAAGTAAAAATCCAATTCATTTTCACCTCAGGAATTAGATTATGCATAAAGCTTTCAGAACAGACTCCATGTGCTCAGAGGTTGAAGAGATGCTGTTTCTGTAGAAGCCATGTGCACAAGTCAGAGTGCAATTGCATTAATAGGAAACCATGGGTAATTGCCAAAGTCCTAGAGAAGAACTTCCCATAATCCACTAATTAGAAAAGTATTTGATTCTAAATATTTTGCAATTGTTAAGTTAAAATATGTTGTTTTTATTCATAAATCAGTGATTCTAAGTCAAGAGTTTCATGGTGTACTGCCATTTGATTGTCATAATCAAAGCAGTGCTTTATGGGATGCATAGTTAATTGCTTCATAAAAGAAAGTTAGGTAAACAGTCTTGTCTTTTTTTAATGATGTGATTAATTTGGTAGCTGTTGATTTTGATTCATGCCTTCAGTCTTTTAATTAATGATGAATGCATTAGAAGCAAGGCTGCTAAAAGTGTGCTGCTACACTCTAGAGTGCCAAGAAAATTAGTAAAAATAGCCTTACTAATTGAATAAAAATATACCTTTCTGTTGGTACAGATTGGTAATAGTTCAAATGTCCATGGACATTTCTGTTGAAAATTAACCCTTATGAATAAGGTATTCTTTAATTTAAGTTTCATTAGCTATATGCTGATGATCAATAAGTAATTTGCATAATGTTTTGCATTAACGGACGTAATTTGCATGTAGAAGTCTTAAAGGTACAGTAGCACAGTGTTACAAATGACACAGTAAACTTACACATAATCAAAAGTTGCCTTGTCTATGTAAATCTTTTTAACCAACAAGAATGTTGGTTAATATTGACTAAAGTGGCAAATCACTTGGTTTATATTTCTGATGTCAGATATGATTTGTCAGATTGCACAGTATTTTAGCGTTTAATGTGTAAAGAATAATTGTGTGCCTGGTTAGGACACTGTTTAAAGGTCAGAGCGAGGGTGAAAACATGACTTGTTTTTGTGGCAAGAAGCCTTGAATTTCAGGGAAAAGAAGAATATGTCTCCTTTATGCAAAAATAACAGATATGAATGGGTCCTGCATTGAGGATTTGGTTACTCTTTAGTTTGGGGACCAATTCTCACTATTAACTAACTATTAACTATGACTTTTGCCTCAATAAACTCCTAATTTGCTGCTTATTAATAGTTAGTAAGGTATTTGTTAAGTTTTGGAAATAAAAACTTAAAAAACAAGTTATGTTAATTATGTTAAACAATTTCATCAATTTATATAAATTCTCAGTATGAACAAGCTGAAATTAATGCACAAGATATCATAACACAATGAACACTGCTAAAATATATATGCTAAATAAATGGCACGTACATATACTAGATTATAGCAAGATACTAACCTTATGAGTGTTTTATGTTCTTTTTCAGAGCTTATGTTTTTTTGTAAAAAATCACCTTATAATAGCAATTGCAGCAGCACTCGCCTCTGATAAAGTAAATATTTTATACATGTAGGCTATTTTTGTCACTTGCGGTGTCATTTTTCACACAGTTAATTTCTGACCCTCTCCGAAAGCATGTTAACTGCACTAGTTATTAGTCACTAGTTTGCATTCTGATAATCATCATAGTTGCACATCGCTTGATTTCTCTTGCACCACAGCTAGTCGCTGTATGACTGCATTAGTATTGACCGGTTTTGCTGATGTGTCTGTTCCATGACTAATGGAAAGACACTTGAGTCAGAGTGCTTCAAGCCTGCTAAACATGTTTGAGCATGACATTATTGTTTTATTCGGACCTTTAATGAAAAGAAATGGCTCGAAGCGGTGGTCTGTGGGATGAAGATAAGGATACATTGGCTTTTGTGAATTTTTCCTTGACTTTGCTTCAGCACAGAAAAATCGATTTCGTTGAAAGGCAGACAGAAATGGAAAAGCATGTTAACTGCACTAGTTATTAGTCACTAGTTTGCATTCTGATAATCATCATAGTTGCACTTCGCTTGATTTCTCTTGCACCACAGCTAGTCGCTGTATGACTGCATTAGTATTGACCGGTTTTGCTGATGTGTCTGTTCCATGACTAATGGAAAGACACTTGAGTCAGAGTGCTTCAAGCCTGCTAAACATGTTTGAGCATGACATTATTGTTTTATTCGGACCTTTAATGAAAAGAAATGGCTCGAAGCGGTGGTCTGTGGGATGAAGATAAGGATACATTGGCTTTTGTGAATTTTTCCTTGACTTTGCTTCAGCACAGAAAAATCGATTTCGTTGAAAGGCAGACAGAAATGGATTTCAAAGCTCTGTTTGTAAGGGTGTAAAATAAAACAAAGTCAGGTTAATTGAGGTATAATCCAATTAAAGGACACTGTCAAAGCAGCATCAGACAGGAAGTAGTTGATTGACATGCAGAGTATGAAGTCACACTGTTCTGAATCCAGAAGTCACTCCTAATATTTCAAGGTAGTGATAGCCAGAGCAACAGATTAATTTAACCATAAATCTAACAAATTTGAGTGAGGTTTATGGTTAAAAAATGAAAATATAGTTCTCTATCCAGGCGTGATGTAAATTCTGTTGTCACAACCTGAATGCAGTTCCATGCTGTCAGTTTTTGGTTCCTTGAATGTTCTTGGAATATCTATTAAATAAAATGTAAAAAATAGCAATTAGAGAAGATTCTGTATAGCTTTTTAGTAAAACCTCCTGGCAACGTTTTGGTTGCTGAAAAATAAAACAAAGAGGCACATAAACCACTTTTAGCTGCAGTGAAGACTGTATTCAGCTATTGGATGCTTTGATATACTTCAAAATGAACAATTCTGCAAGTTGGGTCTCTACAGACTGCCGGATGGCATGTTTCCACACCAAATGGAGAAATCCTCAAAGCTCTTTGGCTGAGTGGTTGGCAGTAGACTGGTTGAGGTGGTGTTTGATTATTCATCTGTTTTGGCTTATGATTCTGTACTAATTCCAGACATTTCGGGCTTGGAAGAGCTTTTTCGAAGCTTTTAGAAGTTTTGGATTCTCTCGAATAGGAATGAATAAAGATGTGATGGTTCTGCTGGCATGATATGTACAGCATGGAGCTGTAATGGGTTTTACGGGGATAGTTCAACCAAAACTATAATTATGAATCCAGTCAACTAACACAGTAGTATATGGATTCAGTGGTCACTTTACCGCTGTAAATACAACTCTGTCTGGGTTTTTTGGGGTGTGATGCTGTAAAAGAAAACATCAGAGGTGCTTATTGTAACTTTAAATCCTTTCAAATGTTTCACCATAAAGCTGTGAGTAATACCCATATTTCTTCCAGGGCAGCACAACTATCTCTGCGCTGGAAGGAATGATTGCATCATAGACAAGATAAGAAGGAAAAACTGCCCGGCATGCCGCTTTCGCAAGTGTCTTCAGGCCGGCATGAACTTGGAAGGTGAGGATGTTCTGATAATTTGACGAGCGGTTTGCTTGAGTGATTTTTATGACCTTTATATGCCACTGCACAGGGGTGCAAACCAGTATGCAATTAGGAATGGCAGTCAAGAGGATTTTATAATTTATCAAACAACTGAGTTTTTTTAATGTGGATTACTGATTCAACAAATCACTTTGCTTTTTCCTTATGCTGTGTGCATTTTTTCCAGTCCACGTCCTTATAGGAACACTCAACTATTTTTGAAAATAGGCTCATTTTCCAACTCCCCTAGAGTTAAACTGTTGAGTTTTACCGTTTTCGAATCCATTCAGCCGATCTCACTAAATTAAAGTGTTACCAAGGATTTTTCATATTTTAAACTTAATAGTTGCAACCAAACTGAAATGAATAGCTTTTGCTTACCAACTTCACATTTTGTTTCAGCATGAACTGAGCTGTGTTTTCAGCACCTGAAACATTTATATCTGTTATTTTTGTTTTTCTTCCCTGATTTCTTCGGTTGCTCTGGCAATGGTGAAGGATGGAGAGCACGACAAAACGCAGATGGTAAATAAATTCACCTTCAATAATGCTTTTGCTGTCGCCCCACAATGCACCTGTGTTAAAATGCTTTTGTCTTTAGTAATAATTCATAGTATAGTAACACTGACTCAATGAAGCTCAATCATTACAGCAGGAAAGAAATCATCTACAGACACTGTCAGAAATTAACTGTTTTTATTAAGAGCCAATATTGCCAGCTGGACTTGATTTTCAAGGGCATTTACCTTTATCAGGATATATATATATATATATATATATATATATATATATGTGTGTGTGTGTGTGTGTGTG